AGGTATTCTCATTCAGTGAAATACTGACAGGATAAATAACAGGTTGAGAGGTTTCTCATTCAGTGAAATACTGACAGGATAAATAACAGGTTGAGAGGTGTCTTCATTCAGTGAAATACTGACAGGACAAATAACAGGTTGAGAGGTATTCTCATTCAGTGAAATACTGACAGGATAAATAAGAGGCTGAGAGATGTCTTCATTCAGTGAAATACTGACAGGATAGTTAAGAGGGTGAAAATTGTTTTTTATAAACATATATAAATACACACACACAGGATGATCGTGAAACGTCTTCGTTGATAGCTCTCCATTGATCAACTCGCTCTGTACATTTCTGCATATGACGGCCGTGTGCTCCATCTTAACTTGAAATAATTCAACATTATAAGATATTCAAAACCAATATCAGTGATCGATACCGGAGGAACGTTGGATGGGTGGAGGCGTCTTTCTGTGGTGATTGACTAAAATAGACCACGATGGAAGATGAAGAAGTACATGGACAAACTTCTATGCATTATGCAGCATTTATCGGTTTAACAAAGCACATTTCCAAACTTTTCGGTCGATTTGTAAATCAGGGCATGCTGTAAGTCATTTAAACAAAGAAAGTGGAAAACGTTCTTGAATATTATATATGAATTTTCTTTGAAGTATGAGATAAGAGGAAATTAATTTTCTAATTATTCGCTCATTATTTTTGAAATCCACTCCGGTAGTTTTTAGCAGCATCCAATCACGAATTATGTTCGTTTGTAATTAAGCACAAAGCTACACAATGGGCTATCCGTGCTTTGCCCACCACTAGTATCGAAACCCGGATTCTAGCGTTGTAAGTCCGCGGACATACCGCTGTGCCACTGGGGAGGCCAATCACAAATTAGCTAGAAGAGAAAACAACTTTGATCGTCTGTTTGCTTATGCGATAAGCTCCGTCACAGGGATCGAACCCCGAATTTAAGCGTTATAAGAAGCCAATGAAAATAACTAATTCTTATTTAGATGATTTACTTTATACTTCTGTGGTTGAGATTAAGTGTTATATCATAATATACCGAAAAGTATGATACAGTAGCATTTTAATACTATCGTTAAGCCTCTCATAAAAGCTACAAGTTGTAACGTATTTCTTTTTTCGGTGCTAAGATGCATGCTCTTACATTTATACTTATCAAATTAAAAACAAAATTGAATAAAAAAAATCCCATGAAACACGATCTGTTTTATATATTGTATTATTCATTACTGATTTAAAGAAACTAATGTTTTTGAGTTACGCCTTCTCCTGGTTTGTGTAATGTTAGACCACTATTAAGTCGATTAAACAAAAACTGAAATATTGTAGTGAAGTTAAGTGTGTAATTAAATAGTTTGGGTTTTAATTAATTTTTTTATTACTCGTCACAGAAAATTTCTGTAGGCCTAATTGAAAAAAACTAAAAAAATCTAAGAAATATATTTAAATGTATATGATAAAACGAGAAGCACTCTTGAGGGATTTACCAACATATCTATATGTTAAAAGACTAGTAACGTATTCTATGCATCGTAATATTTCTACGTACTTAGATATCAGCTTCAAGTGGGCTGTCATATGGACCTTCGTCTTTTCCCAATGGACACACAAGTTTGCGAATTTCAGATAGGATTGAGTGAGTATTGAAATGATTCAACTCAATCTCGTATACATTATTGATTTTGCAGCCATAAATATTTTCCACTCAATGAAAATGAAGAAATGATAATAAAGGGAGTTTATTTAAATTAAATCTTAGAATTTCTTTTTGAAAATGTATGATTTTTTCCACTTAAAATCTAAAATGTTCCTGGATCAAAATTCAAAAACATTTAACTTTTATTACAGTAAATTTGCGTCTGCATTTCCTTGTATTAAACTTTGCTTGACTCGTGTTAAATGTATCAACAGTCTGACCTGTAACGTATAACATATCAACAGTCTGACCTGTAACGTATAACATAGCAACAGTCTGACCTGTAACGTATAACATATCAACAGTCTGACCTGTAACGTATAACATAGCAACAGTCTGACCTGTAACGTATAACATATCAACAGTCTGACCTGTAACACTAAACGTATAAAATCAATGTACATCCTCTTGCTAAACTAGTGTATTGTTTGTTTCCATTATCAACAAAAAGTGCTGTTATACGTTAAATGTTACATGCTAAAATGAGAAGTAACACAAACTATCTCACTACAGCTGTTGTGAAAAGCTTCTTTCTCATCATGAGATAAATCTAAGCCTAGTTAACTCGTTTCAAATTGCTTAGATTATTCAGTAACCTATGTCGCACTTTCGATTGTTCAATACCCCATGTTGCACTTTAGATTGTTCAATACCCAATGTTGCACTTTAGAATGTTCAATACCCCATGTTGCACTTTAGATTGTTGAATACCCCATGTTGCACTTTAGATTGTTGAATACCCCATGTTGCACTTTAGATTGTTCAGTAACCTATGTTGCACTTTAGATTGTTGAATACCCCATGTTGCACTTTAGATTGTTCAATACCCCATGTTGCACTTTAGATTGTTCAGTAACCCATGTTGCACTTTAGATTGTTCAATACCCCATGTTGCACTTTAGGTTGTTCAATAACCCATGTTGCACTTTAGATTGTTCATTACCCCATGTTACACTTTAGATTGTTCAGTAACCCATGTTGCACTTTAGATTGTTCATTACCCCATGTTACACTTTAGATTGTTCAATACCGCATGTTGCACTTTAGATTGTTCAATACCCCATGTTGCACTTTAGACTGTTCAATAACCCATGTTGCACTTTAGATTGTTCAATACCCCATGTTGCACTTTAGATTGTTCAGTAACCCATGTTGCACTTTAGATTGTTCAATACCCCATGTTGCACTTTAGATTGTTCAGTAACCCATGCTGCACTTTAGATTGTTCAGTAACCTATGTTGCACGTTAGATTGTTCAATGCCCTATTTTGCACTTTAGATTGTTCAATTAACCATGTTGCACTTTTTTTTTTCAACTTTTTACAGGTAAAACATATTATCGACATTTTCTTATGTTTTAACCCAAATTCTTGACTTGACCTATTGCTAATAGTATGGATCTGACAGGATAGGTCATACTGTTGTTAACAGTATGGATCTTACAAGATAGGTCAGACAGACTGTTGATATGTTATGAGTCTGACAGGACAGGTCAGACAGACTGTTGTTAAAAGTATGGGTCTGACAGGACAGGTCAGACAGACTGTTGTAAAAGTATGGGTCTGACAGGACAGGTCAGACTGTTGCTAACAGTATGAGTCTGACAGGATACGACTTTCTATCATATATCTGCAAAGATTAGATTATATTTTTAATGGAGTCTGGTTATGATTTTAATAGAGTCTGGTTATGCTACAGTTAGTGATTTTTTCAATACAGTGGCGAACGACGACAGTAGAGCGTTACTCCGTTGGAACGAAGCACACAGTTTCCATAACAAGAGTTTTAAACAAACGAAAGGACCCCAGAAGATAAAGATCAGCCCTCTTCAATTCCGAGTACTAACCACAGGAACTCACAGCCAAACAGAAGAGTGGCCTTCAGGTACTGACCACCTTTCAAGAAACTTCCATAATCTCTTTATATTTAACATTATTTTACGTATGTTTCTTTTATTGTTTTTTTTTCTTCACTTCTTACATGTATTAAGAAATTATTGATTAAATTCTATGATAAACGTTTAGTTCTTACATTTATAAATCTTGCAATGGTGGTGTAGTTTGTTTTACTAAAGAAATGCTTCAATACCACCTACAGGTAAGTACTTCCTCAACTTGACATTCAATACCACCTACAGGTAAGTACTTCCTGAACTTGACATTCAATACCACCTACAGGTAAGTACTTCTTGAACTTGACATTCAATACAACCTACTTAGTAA